TATTAAAAGTACATCTGGGGGCAGCTAGGTGGCGCAGTGGATAGAGCACTGGCCCTGAAGCCAGGAGGGCCTGAGTTCAAATCCAAACTCAGACACATAACACTTACTCGCTGCGTGACCCTGGGCAAGTCACTTAACCCCACTGCCTAACTTAAAAAAAAAAAGTACATCTAATGTATACTAACAGGTCCGTAAACATTTACAAATATCTTCATGAGCATTCAAAAATGTGTGTGGAAGGCAGAAGTTTTTGTGAATAACTCATCAAAGTATGGGGTTAAATGACCTTAGAGCCTGAAAACTTTTAAAGATACCTGATGAAGACACTAAGTCTCACACAGATAACTAAAACAAAAGTACCAATAGTTCCATCTCTACACGGATTCATTTGTTAATTTCCCTGAGGTACAAGGGTGTATTCAAGTGGTTAAACCACAGAATTATTGATTTAGGGCTTAGATACCTTGTACTCTAGTTTTACAGGTATGATATAATCCTACCTCCCATGGAGTCAAGTCTTAGAAAAAAGTTAAACAGCAATGCAAAGTACAATTTCTGATCTTTCACATAAATTTTATTTCTATCAGAAAACAGTTCATCATGTTTTAATTTCAAAATATTATACTTTGATCATCTGATTTCTAGTTATGGTCAAAAAGAATGAAATTTTTTAAATGGAGCTTTCTTAAAAGTAAACAGAAATCTGCTCAGCTTCACCTGAATTACTCATAAATCAGAAACACTACTAAAGAAAATAAATTTACTTAAATTTACGGACTGGGTATGCAAGATTTCTATGACACTGTTCAACACCAATTAGATGATTAGTCTGATTATAATACCCTATAAATATTCAAGTCCTGTTATGCAAACTTTTCCACATGTAGTCAGTATATTTTGTTTCTTTGAAATTCAATAATTTCTTTGAAATTCACTAATACCTACAATGTTCTTTCAAGCAACAGATTACAGACATTAACTAACCTGCCTATAATTTCCAAACTAAAACCAAAATAGTTTTTAACTTTCTCAATAAACTTTACACAAACAGAAGTGAGATAAGTTGTAGGCTGATCTTCAACTCCTAATGTGCAAGCATCTTGTCCAATATTACAAGCATTAAACTATACTTTCTAAGTCCTCAAAGCCAATTATATCCTTGGTCACTACACAGATCACACCAGAATTGACCTAAATTGATTATATCCCAATTTCAAATAGTTTAACAATGACACATTTCATAACTCTTTATAAGGATTAACATGTCTGAAAGAACTAGGATAGTACATATTTAAACTCTTCTGAACTAAATCAATTTAATATGATTCAAAAAGATCATCATTACAACTGTCAATTATCACTGGAAGCAGGACTTAGACCCAGAAAAGAATACAGATAATTAACTCCAATCACTCTTCCCTCCTCCAATTTTATAGATGAAGAAGCTACAGCTTTAAAAGGCTCTAAACTTGTTCAGGTCATAGGGCCATATAGAACAGTCAGGATCTGAAACCAAAACACTTGACTATATCAAGTACCTTTTCAATTTTCCCCCCCAGTACAATAGAAAAATTTTGGTTATCTAACTTTTTCCAGTTTAGATTCCAGAAAGACAATTTACTGCAACTAGCTTCATTTCTGGTAATCATGATTAATTTTCTAGATGTTGCTCGGCTCTTGGGAAGCTACTTACTCAGAATGGCCTCACAAGTAATACACCATTAACAATTTATTAACTTAGAAAATGAGGCAGTATTTTATAAGTGAATCCTTACTAGCTAATATAGTTAATGTAAACCTACAAGAAAATGAAATCCAAGATTAAGAGTTAACTGTATTAACATAAAAGCAGTAAAATTCCTTTAATGAGTTAAAAATACATACACTAAAATATTAATTAAAAATAAATTTTAAAATTAAAGTTAAGATACGAAAATAGCTATCAACAGGATTCTTCAATACCATTAATCATTTTAACACCATTTGAAATTCTTAAAATATTCTCTAAAAATAAAAGTCTGTTAAAGGTATTGTTATCATCTTGATACGGTATTTTTTCAGAATTACACCCTACATCCCAGAATTTTAAATAGCCTTTTTTTTGGAAAGAAAGAAATCTTTAATCCATAAAATATGGGGAAAGAATGAAAATGTTTTACAAAGACTAACTTCACAAAAGCTGCTAATTATAGCTTATAATCATATAATTTGAGAGTTTGGAGAGACTTTGGGAGATCACTCATTCAACCTCTTAATTTTACAGATGAGCCAAGAGTGAAATCAGTACACAATTTTGGCCCACCATTTAAATTTGCAAATGTATATAGCAACTTTATTTTTTGAAAAACAATTAGTTAACCAATTAGAATTTTCTGTTGTGGCCAAATAATTCCGCAGTATGTAGAATATGTTTCTGAAGTAAAGTACATTATAGTCTACTTTATTAGTCATTTTAATAACCTTGGGAAGGAACGGAAGTTACTTACAAGATTAAGAATTCCAAGCAAGGAGAATATAAAGTTACTTATTAAAGTTCACTCTTAGAATGTCAGAGCAATGTAAAAAGACCAACTAGTATATTAATGACCAAGATTTCTGCATACCCTAATTCTAAAGTCATGTAAAGTAATTTTGATGGCTCATTCAAGAAGAATACTGTATATTCTTTTACAAACCCATTATACTAGAATAAAATGGCTAATTCCAGGGTGGAAAATTAAAAAAAAAACTTTTAGCATCTAAATAAAAACAAATCACCCTTAAATGTTAAATGTTTAAAGCACAGTCAACAGAACAACCTAAGGAAGTTTTGAGTGTTTATATGCTCCTCCCTCAGGTCAAATGAGTAGCCCAGGATAATCAGTGGAAGCCAGGACTAGAACCTAGGTCTTCCAAAACAAGATTACAGTTCTTTCCATTATAGACATATGCTGGTCATTAATAAAAAGTTAACTCCTCCAAACACCAAAGTATGTTTCACAGACTGAAACACACAATGTTTTTAATACTGGAAAAGACCACAGCTATAAACTGAAAATAGGAAGAAAATAATTTTCAGTACTCTCCTGAACCCACAAAATGGAAACATCAAGAGAGTATTGAATAAACATGATAAGATATTAAATATTTGAATATATGGCAGACATCCCACTAAACAGAATCATGGCCAAGAAATCCCACTGATGCTAACAGCAATATATAAATACCATTAAAAAAAAAGACTTTGGGGTGTGTAAGTGAGCACTGGTTTAGGAGTTAGGCGACTGGTTCTACTTTCAGTACTGCACTTGCTAGTTCTTTCTATGTGTTGTGGTTGTTCAATCATTTTAGTCGTGTCCAATTCTTCATGACCCTATTTGGGGTTTTCTTGGTAGAGATACTGGAGTGGTTTGCCATTTCCTTCTCCAGCTCATTTTACAGATGAGGAAACAGGCAAATAACAAGGTTAAGTGACTTGTCCAGGGTCACACAATTAGTAAGTGTGTGAGGCCAGATTTGAACTCAGGAAGATGAGTCTTCCTGACTTCAGGTCAGTCACTCAATCCAATGTGCCACCTAACGCCCATGGGTAAAATCACTTCCTCTTTCTAGGCCTCAATTTCCTCTTCAGTAAACTGAACTGGACCAGGTTAATTCCCTAGATATCCATTCTTCATACTCTAAAATTTCACAATAAATTTAGCATATCTGAAAGAGTTTCATTAATTTTCCCTCAATTCTGTGGGCAATAAATACTAAGCTTTCTAATTTTCAGGCAAGTTGTTTTAAAACAAAGAAAAGCATTTCCCTAAATTGGTTCAATGGAATGTAAGACCCTAAGAAAAAAAATCCAAGTTAAAAAAATTGTAAATTTCCTTAAACTTTTCTTGCACCAATTTCTGTCGAGCACTGTTACATGTTCCTAAACAATCGTTACCTTATGAAGCAGAACAACTTATTTCTTGTAATATTTGGCCATTATCAGTCATAACTGACTGCCGATGATGCCAAAACATTTTTAGAAAATAAAAATTCACATCAATGCAAATGGTGACAGTACTGGGCAATTTCAATTTTATATGTAAATATCAGCATAAATCTAAAGGAATTTCAAAGAAGGATTTTTTCCAACTTCAACTTTTAATGACTTAAACTGCCACAAAATTAATCTTGAAACTCCCTTTAAAAATAATTCTTAAGCAAAATCTTTTCATCTATACCAATCCCTTTCTCACAGAATATAAATACTAAAAGCCAGACCAACCTGTGGCATGTGAATTAAAGTATAAACACAATGAGGGATCAATCAATTTTTAAGATTCCAAAAACAAATTTGGAAAAATGCTTGTTAAATGCTTAAGATGAAAATGTCTTTCAAACCTGTTTCAGAACTGCAAGGACATTTTGCCAACTTAGTACATGTATCTATGCGTAATGAATTCTCACACCACAATTCCTCAATATTTGTGGAGTTAAGGAAGAGCATTAAACAGAAGTAATAAAAGTTTTAAGAAAAAAAATCTTGTATCTCTAAATATTCCACCAACAATTAAGCACTTAGGTACAAGTGGAACTCACAGTTCTGTACCTGCTCCATTTTAACTCATCCATGTTTTTCTTAAAAATCAGTTCACAAACTTAAGATTCTGCTTAAAAAATTACTCAACCCCCCCTCCAAAATAAATACATGTCTGCCACCTTTAAAGCAGTAGGCAGGTGCCAGAGGGGGAAGATGTTAGGCAAAAAAGAAATCTCTGGCCAAGGACACAGAGGTTAACATTGTTCATACTGGAGCATCCCAAAGTATATTAGCTAACTATCAGGAAGGGCCTCCATTTCAAGAGCTCACAGAAATGACCTAAAATGACCCCAAAACAAACATTAATTTATCTAGCTTTAAAAAAATCAAACCTCGAGGGCTGGTACTTAAATCTGTTTCCGGTGACTCAACGAAGCAAACCTGCTGCTCAAACCAGTACGCCCCATCCCACGAACATAATTTCCTTCTTCCTTTCCGACAGAATATCCTCCCCCCCCCCCCCCGCCCCCAGCAAGGGCGGCTGCTGCTGCAGACCTTCAGCTTCAGCAGCAGCAGCTGCTCCAGGGATTGGAGGATGCAAATAGCCCGACAGAAAAAAGGGAGGTCAAAAGGAATCCAGCAGCCCCCTCGGAACCCTCCCCCACCCTATCCACCTCCGGCCCACCCCTTCCCTTCAAGTTTTCCCTCCTCTCCTTCCCTCCCTCGTACTCCCTACCTTCCCTCCTTCATCCCAACCCCTAAGGCCAAGGTCTCCCCGGCCCACAAACCTGATAGCGGAAGTGACGGAGGCCCGAGCGGCCACCGCGGCCTCTCACGCTGGGGCACTGGGCGCCGTCAACCAATGAGCGCCGGCCGGGGAGGAGGGATTTTCAGGCGCCTCAAGTTTGATTGAAGTGCGAGGAGGGGGAGGGGAAAAGGTGTCTCTCCCTCTCTCTTTCTCCACGTTCCCCTCCCCCTCCCCGCCGCCAGCTTCCTCGACTGGAGTAACCTCTCAGGGCCTACCTCAGGTTAGGTGCGGGAGGCCGCGTCGGAGAGGGCCGAGTCCCCGCTTCCCCCACGCCCAGCGTGGCGGGCACCTGTCACCGCGGGCACCGCCACCGGCCCGGGCCCAGCCCGCTCCCGCTCCTCCCTAGGCAGCCCGGTCGTCCCGGGCCTGCTGGGGAAGAAGCGGCCGTGCCGCGGCTCCTCACCCAGCCGGGCCTCAGCCCTCCACGCCTGGCGCGACCGCCCCTCCTTCACCTCCCCCCACAGCCCGCCGCCGCCGCCTCTTCCTCCGCCTCAGAGGGCGAAGAAAATGGCGGCCGCTCCTGCCTCACCCACCTCAGGGCTGAGGGGAGGACCGAGGCCCGGGCCCGCCGCCTGCAGTCGCCGGCCTTGGGCCCCCAGCGCCGGCCGCTTCCCCGGAGCGCCGTACGGGGTAACCCGCGGTGGCGAGGACCCGGATGGAGTCGCGGGGGCGAGCGCCGCCGCGGCAGCCCGAGGTAAAGGCATCGCGGGAAGGAAGGAAGGGAAGGAGGGAAGGAAGGTAAGGCCCCTTGGCGGAGCTGGCAGCTCCCTGGCCGCTTATTGGAAGAAAATAAAGGAATGACAGCCTCTCCGATCCATTCCTTCCCGCCGCGCCTACTTTCTCCCGCTCCCACTGGACTAAAGCAAAAGGAGCCCGCCCACCTCGAGGCTGAGATTCCCGACTCCCTTTGGTGAAGGGAGAACATTGGGCCCGCCTTCTCCGGATCCGATCCTCTTTTCCCATTTGTGGAAACCGAGGAGTGACAGGCCTTGTGGCCACCCTCTCCGCCTGGCCCCCAGTTCGGCTCCCGCCTGCCGCAGATTGACAGGCCTGCCGTCACGTGGCCGCAGGGAAGCCGTTAGGCCCGCAGTGATGGAGGGGCTGAGGCTTGGGAAGAGGCCCATGCTGAGGGGCTCTCCTTGGCCGACTCCCCTCCCCTTCCAAGTCTTAGAACCTTAGTTTGCCCAGAATTTGCGTTTGGCGATACTTTCCCCCTCACAATCGCCCTGTAAAGGGAGCGGCAGGGCCATAGCTGGCATCCATTCTCATTTTGTCAGCCAACTGAGGCCCAGAGAAGTTCAGTGATTTCCCCAAGGTCACACAGCAATGCCAGGATTCGAGCACAGGTCTCCTGACTCCCAGGGCCTTCGGGCTTGTGCTCACCGACCTCCTGTGAAGGCCTGTGGGCAACAGGGACAAGGCCTGGCCGGGATGGGAGGTTAAAAATGAAAGACCAGACTTTCTGTCCTGGCTCTGCCACTGACCAGCTTTGCGGTGACTTTGGGCAGAGGATCTAGAGCAGGAAGAAAGCTTAGAGATGACCCGGGAGAGCCCCCACTTTAAAAACAAAACCCCCAACTCCCTGCCCGCCCCCTCCTCCACCTCCTTTGTCAGTCTTCCTCCCTTCCCCCTGCCGTCAGAGCCCTGCTCGGCCCCGGGACCCCTCTCTTCCCCCTCCTCTTGGTGATCCCAGTTATGGTCCATTTGTCCGGCCCCCGACCTGTCCCACCACCTCCAGGCTCACGTTTCCAACGAGCTCGTTGTCTTTCTCCTCCCCTCCCCCTCCCCACCTTCCCCCCCTCCACCCCACGAGGGCACTACTCTCCTCCCAGCCATCCCGACTCAGAACCTGGGGGTCCTCCCCCACTCCCCCTCTCCTCCCTCCAGCTCTGGGCCTGTGCCCAGACTGTCCCCTTCTTAGAATCAATGCCTCATTTCCTCCAGAACTCAGCTCAGCCCTGATTCCCATCCTCCCAGTGGCTATTTTGTACAGACTTAATTTAACTATGTACATAGTCTCTCCCCCTGATACAGTATAAGCTCCAGGAGAAAAGGGAGTTTCATTTTTGTCTTTGTTTCACCAGAGGCTAGCAGTCTGTTACGTAATAGGTGCTTAATAAATGCTTGATTGCTCTCAGATTCTCTTTTTATATTCTGTATCACCAGGTATGAGAATTTCTATACAATGAGTTGTCAGCTTTTAGTTACAGAGGTTTGGGATTTGATTGCTATAAATGATCAATATCAATCAGTCAGTAAATTTGACTGTGAGCCAGGACATATATAAATTTTCTGTCCTCAGCAAAGTGCTCTATGTATAGCAGATAACTGAACTATATTAAATTGGAACACTATCATGCTTCTCACAATAATAGAAGCCACTAGTGAAGACAGTTTCGGTTTTATTTCTGACATGTCACTGCTTATGCCTTCAAAAGTTTGTTGAAATAGCACTTGGCAAGACATGGAATTTGAGGGACAAAGTAGAAACATTTGACTTCTAACGCTGCCTTGTATACCACGTGCATAGCAAAGCAACTTCTTCAAAAAAAAATTATTACAGCCATGGTTTGTACAATTCTGGTTGAAAAATAGCTGATAGAAATTGATCTCTTAGAATCCTGTTATCTTTCAAGGGAATTGATGCCTTAAACTGTTGCAAGCTTATAACAGCTCAGAATGGAAGACTGTAAAGCCGGAAGGAACCATGGATATCATCTAATCCAGGCCCTTCTCATTATAAATTAGGAAACAAAGGCCCAGAGAGAAATGATTTGACCCTAGTCTCCTAACTCCCAATTTAGTAATTTGTCCAGGAGTGTCATGTTTGAAGACCTTTAGGAGATAAAGATACAATCTTGCCTTCTAGCAGTCTACAATGTGTACTGTGCAAAAAACCTGATAGAAAGAGACTCTGTGCAATGATGAAGACCAATCAAACCGAAGAAATGGGGCTGTGTGGAGGTCCTCTCTGGGGGAATGCCCCCAGTGACAGCCCCAAACACATTTCTCACTGATGAACCAGAATGCCCATGGTATACAAGATTTTGCCGTAAGTTGGCCAGAGCCAAAAGCCAGACACAGCCTAGGATCTCTCACAGCCTAAGATTGCTTTTAAATAGTATGCTTAACTGTTCATCTCTACCTAGTCCCTTCTTGATAGGATTGTGGGGTGGCCAGAAGCAGCTGGCCCAAAAGATCAGCAGGGTCTCGGTTGTGTAAGGATGGGTAAAGGAAGGCAATCTGGATGGAAGTTTACTCAATTATAGTTTAGGGGAGGATGGGGTAGGAGCCCATTGAACCCACTCCTCTATCCTTCACTGTGCTTTTTTGTTCTGTTACATTTCTCCTCTCGTTAGCCAAGAGCTCAGCCCCCAAATCCTTTCAGATTGAAAGTACTTACATGCTGACCTGGGGCATAATCAGTCCAAGAGTAATTGCTTTTGGTTTTCTTTTTCTCCCTCCCTATACCCCATCTCCTCTCCCCTTTCCACCCCCCCATCCCCCCAGTGTGTGTTGCCCTCCTGGAATCCTTAAGATGCATGTGACCACTCACTGTGGTATCCCACTGAGCATTCAGACCTGTCTTGCCTGGCTTAGTCATGTTCCAGATTTTTCTTCCCTCCTTATTCATCAAGGCTTACCTTTCCTGAAATCTCTTCCTTTTGGACCTTACACTCAGTTAGCTAATCTGATAAGTTTCTTTAATTTGTGCATACCCCTCTATGTCACAGTACACAGTTTCATGAATTGTAATCAAAAAAGTTGTCAGCCCTTTTGATGATCAATAGGCTGGTCCACAGATGACAAATACACTCCATCCCTGGGCCCATAGTCAAAGCCTTTTCAATTTGGCTGGACATGTCAGAGCTTATACTCCATTTGTCTGTACCAGGAGAAGATAATAGTGAATTATTTTAGTGGAGGTGCTGTTACAGGGGTGGGGAACCTGTGGCCTCGAGACCACATGAGGCCTTCTAGGTCCTTGGGTATCAACTTTTGACTGAGTCCAAGTTTTACAGAACAAATCCTTTTATTAAAGGGATTTGTTCTGTAAAGTTTGGATTCAGTCAAAAGGCCACACTTGAGGTCCTAGAAGGCTACCTGTGGCCTCAGAGGCTTCAGGTTCCTCACCCCTGTACTAATACTTCTGTAGATATTAATGGGTTACTCTTTCCCTTCCTGGGTAACATATTTGCACTTTCACTCTGGGGACTCTTGGACTCCTGAAGTACACAGCCTACTTCTCATGGATAATTACGAGTTTTTAAAAATCCTTGAAAAATGCAGTTAACTAAAATTTCTTTAAAACCTCTTGGATGGCAGGGATTACATTTTATATTTCTTTTATAGACCCTTATAGAACCCCCAGCCGAATGCTGAAAACATTAGTAAGAGGCTCCAGTGAAAAGGGTACTAGATGAGTCAGAAGGCCCCAGTTCCAGCCTTGGCTCTGCTTCTTACTATCTTAACTCTTAACTATGTGTGTGAGGGGAGGCAAGTGCCTTAACCTCTTCTAAATTTCTATATCCTCCTCTATAAGATAGCTGCCTACCTCTCGAGGCTATTTGGAGGAAAGTGCTTTGGAAACTTGAAACCGCTATAAAAATGTGAACCCTCTTTTTTTCCCTTATACACTGACGGTCTTATAGGTGCTTTTTTTTTTAAGTGGACTAGAATTTAGAACTAGAAGGAGCTTGGAATTCTTCTAGTGTTTTTGTAGATAAAGAAGATGAGCCCCAGAGAAAAGAATTGACTTCTCCCAAGGTCAGAAAAGTTCATAGATAGTAAAGCCAGCAGTGGAATGGAGAAGTAGTGCTCTTTGGACTCTATGATGCTGTCTATTAATTAAGACTTATTCTCTTGACAAGAGTTATGGAAGGAGGAGAACTTCCCATTCTACAGAACTGCAGCAAGATTCCTAAAGGAGCCCTTCCCCAGCAGTTACTTCATTCAGTGGAAAGGGGGAAACAAAAGGGGAGAAAGCATGAGCAGGGGTCCCTCCAAAGCTTTCATTACTGTGGATTGAAATGTGTTCATAGAATTTCTAACCAATGAAAACTGTTCTTAGGTCTAACCCAAGAACTGACATTCCACGGTAAGTGATCAGAGATAATCACTCCTCTACCCTTAACTGTGCTTTTTTGTTCTGTTACATTTCTCCTCTCATTAGCCAAGAGCTCAGCCCCCAAATCCTTTCAGATTGAAAGTACTCACATGCTGACCTGGGGCATAATCAGTCCAAGAGTAAAGCATGAAGAGATATCTATGTGAAGTTTCCATTAAAAAAAAATTCTCGGAAGTTATATTCCCAGTGGAGCCCCTTGGTTGAAAGAGAAGAAAAAACCACAACTTGAATAGTTTTTTTTTTAATGTAGTTGTGTCTTTCTGACTGCATCTGCAGTGATAGAAGCAGCATTCATCTTCATGCTCTAAATATTGCCTTATACTGTTGATTCTTTTGACCCAGTATCACTTCCTGTGTGGGGCTAATTGCAGTGGATGGACTACAGGCTGAACAAGATGGATTTCGAGGAAGGCTGGGCTCCTTTTCGTTTGGTTTCTGAAACAAACCCAATACAGTCTTGCAGAGAATCTCATCTGGAATATCTCCTGACAAAGTGCTCTGTGTTGAACACCCTGACCTCCAGGCCTCACACAGTTCAGCAGCATTCACCAATACCTGGTCTGTTTTAGAGAGGACAAAATCAGTAATGTTCATGCCTTTGAGGAGTTCTTGAAAATAGTGCCTGATGGAAATGTTATCTTTTCCTGGCACCTTTGGGAGAGAGTTGCCTTCCATAAGTCTCTCCATTTCTGTCCTGAGCTTTTTGTCTTCGTGAAGGAATTGTACTGCGTTCAAATGTTGTTCTAGGAGAGTTCTCATTTGCTGGTAGAGCTGTCTGGGGGCTTGAAGTTCCCTGGCAACAAGCTGCAATTTCTCTAACTTGGTAGAATGTTCATTATCTAATTTCTTTTTCAGGGTGGCAATCCTAAATTTGATACCATTTAATAGGCTGCTTCCAATAGTGTCGATCATAGCTCGAGTATCTGCTGTGCTGGTGATGAGCTCATTGATCAGTTTTTCTGTTTCCTGTTAAAATGGCATACACACTTTTTTAGTGAGTTGCTCCCATGTGTATCTGCCCTGGTCAGCAAACATTTGAGGAATAAAATGTGCAGGTACTGAGTTATGGGCATGTAGAATTTTAGTGTTGTAAGGGACCCTTGAAATCTGTTGTCCAACCCTGGGGAGGTGGAGGATCTGAGTTCTAATCTTGAGGCTCTGTTCTTGTGTATTCTTGGTAAAGTCACTTCACTTTTCTGTGTCTTTAGTTTATTCATTTGTAAAATGAAAGGAGACCTTAACTTTCTTTGTGTCATGGACCCCTTTGAAAGTCTGATGAAGCCTATGGACCCCTTCTCAGAATGTTTTTAAAATACATGGAAATAAATTACATAGGAATACAAAGGAAACCAAATATATCGAAAGTTATCTGTTTTTTTAAAAACAAGTTCGCAGGGGGCAGCTAGGTGGCGCAGTGGATAGAGCTCCAGCCTTGGAGTCAGGAGGACCTGAGTTCGAATGTGACCTCAGATACATGATACTCACTGGTTGTGTGACCCTGGGCAAGTCATTTAACCCCTATTGCCTCGCAAAGCAAAAACAAACAAGTTCACAGACTCTAGGTTAAGAACCTTTGAATCAGATTTTGGGAGAAAGAATCTCATGTTAGATAAAATGCTATCTGAACACAGGAAGAAGCCCTTGCTTTGAATCCCATTTCAGACTTGGTGACCCAGGGCAAATCACCTCTCTCAGCCAGTTTCCTCATTTGTAAAATGTGGCTAAGTGTAGCACTAAACTTACAAGGTTCTTGTAAAGACTAAGCCAAATGTATGGAAACTTTTCCAAACATTAAAGCTCTATATAAATATGAGCTATGATTTCTAAGTTCTGTTCTAGCTTTAAATCCTAAAGTGGGGAGTTGGGGAGAATGGGGACAAAAATATTGTTCCTATTCATTTTGGGGCAATTCAGAATGGATTTTGGTTTGGCTTGATCCTGAACACAACCTACACTTTGCCATTTTCATCCCTTTGCTGACACGATTCCCTGAGAAATGGAATCTTCCTCCTCATCGATCCTCACCTGGCTATAAATCCTCATTATCCTTTAAGGCCAAGCTCAAATGGTGTCTGTTCATAAAGAAGGCTTCATTCCCACCCTCCTTCAGCTGGAACCCTTTCTCCCTGTACTCCCACAGCACTTAGTTTCTCCTTTATTGTACTTTCACATTTTTTTCTCTTAAGATGGTTATTTGTCTTCTCCCTATCTGTCTCCTCTACTAGATTGTCAATTCCATAATAACCGGGTCCATGTTTTCTTCCACGTTGGATCCCTCACAAAATGACAATTTCCTATTTCCAGGCTTGTCAGCCTGGTTTTTAAACCCCTCAACAACCTGGTTTTCACTTACATTTCCAAACTTATTTCATATTACTCCTTTTCACTCGTTCTTTCTTGTAGCCAAACTTGACTTTCTGTCTCTGTCTTTGCACAGACTGTCTATCCCTGGTGTCCAGAATGCTCTCCCTCTCCACCTCTGTCTTTTTGAATCCCTGGCAACCTTCAAGGCTCAGCTCAGGCGCTCCCTCCTACCCAAAGCCTCTCCTTGTCCACTTTACATGCTGGTACTCTTTTCTTCCTGAAATTATTATTTTTCAAAAATTTATCTATGTGCATGTTATATTCCTCTAGTAGAATATAAACTCTTTGAGGCCAGGCAGGGACTTCTTCATCTTGTCTTTGTATCCTATCTCCAATACCTAGCATATTGCTTTATTTAGCACAGACATTTAAAAATGTTCATTTAATTGAATAGTAGCTGCTCAATAAACATTCTGAATGAGTAACAGCTAAGAATTATTTCCTCTTTGTTTTCAGAGTACTAACAAGGGTTTCCCTTAACTTAGCATTCTTTTTTTTTTTAAACATCACACTCATATTCTGAACTGAACCATGGACCTGGGTCTGGAATTTATGCAGCTGTTCATAGGAAGCACCTTTGTAATTATAGAACCCAGTGCGGAAAGGAAATAGATAGGAAAAATAAGACCTAGAAAAATAAAATGACCACACATGTAGCAAGTATCAGAGACAGCATAGTATGGAAAGCTGGATTTAAAATCTAAAGACCTGAGTTGAGCATCAGCCCTGACACTTAGATCTAGCTGTCTGATCAGTCAATAGTAAGCATTTATCAAGCCCTTCTATATGTTGTTTACTGTGTTAGGTGCTACAGGATATGAAAACAAAAATGGCAGTCTCTACTTTTCAAGAAACTTATATTCTCTTGGGGGAAATCCATGCACACATATAAGTACCTGCAAAATGACTACCAGGTCATGGGAGGAGGGGGGAACTTTAGCAGCTGGAGAGATCAGGAAAGGTCTCATAAGGGTTGTCACTTAAGTTGAACTTTGAAGAAAACAGGTATTCTAAACCGGAAGCGAGGAGGGCGTACACTTCAGGCATGGAGAATGGCCAGTGGAAAGACGTGGGCGGAGATGGCGATGGAAAGCCAAATGGGAGGAACAGGGAGGCTAGTTTGGCTGGAGCTTAGAGTGCAGGAAGGGAAGTCATGTATAATGAAACTAGAAAGATTGGGTCTAAGCTGTGAAAGGCATTAAAAGACAAATAGAAGGTTTTATTAATTTATATTTAGTCCTAGAGGCAATAGGGAGCACTGGAGTTTATTAAGTAGGAGAGTGGCATGATTAAGGAATATTTCTTGAGTGGAAAGACAGTAAGGGAGGGCAATTAAGAGGCCAACCTGAATGAAGACAAAGGGTTAAAGACATGTCCTGGAAATAGAAAGGACAAGATTTGGCCATGATTGGTTATATAGGTTGAAGAAGAAGGAGGAATCAAGGGTAGTTCCCATGGAACCTAAGAGCCAGACTCTCCCTTGTCTCCAGTGCACCCCCACCTCGTCTCTGCCTCTTACAGTTTTTATCTTGATTCAAGGCTCAGCCCAGATGCCACCCCCAAGTTAAAGGTGTTAGTACTCTTTCACAGGAATTACCTCACATTACCTTTACTTATCTATGTAAGTGCTGTCTCCCTGCAGTAGAAAAGAGGTTCCTTGAGGTCAGGGCCTCTTTTGTTTTTGTCTTTCTCTTCTGTCAGCCTAGAGTAGGCCTTTAATAAATGTTGGTTCAATTAAGGTTATTTCCTCTCTGTGTCTTGTATCCTTTTTTATAAAATGGAAAAAAACTGGGGGAATGGGGCCAGGATAGCACAGTGTGATGGCTGGATCACTGGATTTAAAGTCAAAGGACCTAGGTATGAATCATAGGTCTGATATTGATGACCTTAGAAAAGACACCTCTTCTCTGTCTTGATTTCTTTTTCTGTAAAATGAGGGGTTGGACTATATCTCTGAGATCCCTGCCAGCTCTAAGTCCTGCAATCCTGTTGTGGGGTGTGGGAAGACTTCTCTGGTGATTGTGTAAAACAACATCTGAAAACTCTCTGATCAGAGAAATTGTTAAAACTACAGTCTGCCTCTCCAGCTGGAGATGAAATTCCAGAATGCAGCAGGCTCAACAGGTATATATGGGAATGAGAGCCCCAGGAATCAGTGCAGGAATATAGTATGTGGTTTGTTCATTTATTTGAAATGATCATTCTTCCCTAACAGCTCTGGAGCATGTGACTATGCAACAATGTTTGGGTTGGCTCAGCGTTGGAAGTTTATGATGAGTGTTTGATGAACATTCAGGTGAGTGGTGAAGTCTATACATAGAGCTTTTCAGCTGCTGAGACAGAGGGACACATACACACACACAGACACACACACACACCATTTAGCGGCCCACTAGCTTTCAGGGGTTTTCCCTTCCCTGTTCTCTTCCATCTCCAGTTTATTCTTCACACTATTATTTCCAGAATAATAGAATGGGTTATGTCATTCCTCTAAACAAAACCCTTCACTGTCTCTCCAGTGCTTATTGTATTGAGTTCAGAGCCCCCTGTTTAGAATTTAAGGCCTTCTAGCTCTGACATTCTGTGTTCTGGGTCCTTTCCAATGATGACATTCTATGTCCTAAGGTCCCTTCCAATTGATACTCTATAATGTTGCAATTCTAAAATGTGTATAGAGTAACATTACCATGCACATTAACTTAAGTGAATCATTGTGTTCATGTAATAAACCTCAATACAGGTTACACAGTCAAAAACTTTCAGAATTAGGACAGCCTTCACTGGACAGTCAGACATGAAGAATACCTAGCTTTCCTTGTTCCCAAGTTTCAAAATATCTTTTTATTTTCTTGTAGAATATAAGCAAATATACCTACTAACTGAATCACTCATTTTGTCATTTAGGAGAGGGCACTAGTGTGTTAGGTAGTCAGTGGATAGAGTGCTGGGCCTAGAGTCAGGAAGACTTGAGTTCAAATTGACCTCATATACTTACTAGCTGTGTGACCCTGGACAAGTCATTTAACCTTTATTTGCCTTAATCCACTGGAGAAGGAAATGGCAAACCCCTCCAGTATCTTTGCCAAGAAAACCCCATGGACAGAGTGTGCTATGGTCCACAGGGTCATGAAGAGTCAGATACTACTGAATAACTGAACTAGGGTAGTACAACTAGGGTAGAGTAGAAAGAAACCTAGATTTTTAGTCAGGAGTCCCAAATTCAAATCCTGACTGCCACAGAGCTATAACTAGGAATTCTTGTCCTTGAAGCAAATTCATTTGGTGGGGCAGAGATAGACAATTGGCTTTGGAGTCCAAAGACTTGGGTTAAGAGCCCAGTCCTGCCATATTCTATCTAACTGTGTCATACTGGACAAATTGATTTAATTCCCTATGTCTCAGTTTCTTCATCTGTTAAATGGGAGTGCTTGCCTTTCCTACTTCACAGGGTTATGGGGATAAAATTAGATATACTGGGCACAAATTGCTATCTAAATAAGACCTAGTTTGATGCATAAAGGATGAAAGCTTAGACCCACGGTGTCTGTTACCAAATGACAACTTAATTTTCTCTAGTGATTTATAACTTTGATTATTTTCTATTGTTGTCAATATATTCCCTCCAGATTTACATTTAAAATGTTTTATAAGGGAAAAATAAATGAATGCAAGAAAAACAATATTGCCATATATAGAAGCTGAGATATGGCTGATAATTTGGATTTGAAATAGCATAACTCAGTGGACAGTTAACCAATAATTTTCTGTAGCTCTTTCTACAATCTGTGGTCTTCTGTACATAAATGTGCAGAATCTAAAAGTTAACACATTTCAGAGCAAACTGATGAAGAACATTTTGTGTAGCATGTGCTATGTTATTCTTTCCTTGGGTTTAACCCTCCCTCTCTCCTCACCTTGGTGCCCCAAGTAGAATACTTGTCTGAACTTGAACAAAATGTGATCAGGCTGTGCCTGTGAGCTCAGAGAAATGAGTCACATGGTCCCCTACCTCTGTTGCTTGAGTTGTGCTTTCAGATTTCTGAAGTACCAGCTGTATATCCTCAGCAAAGCTAATTTTCCTCGCTGAATATGCTTCTGAAATTTTTGCAATCCTGTGAGGCTTATGGTCACCAAAGAGTTTACAGATTGCACATATTGGTTCATCATCATTCAGGCACATCTGAGATTGAGAAAAGAAACCACCATCAAATCCTTGATTCAGCTCTGAATCAGAGCCCATTTCCCCTTAAAAGATTCCATCAGTGACTGGAAGACTGTGGCCCTGAGATGAGGTTTTCCTTTGTACCATGTGCTATGATAGTTACTGAACAGGAAGGATGGAGGGCTGCCCAGACTTGTGAGGTGGCAGAAGAATCACTGGTTTGGGAATTAGAAGATCAAAGCTGAAGTGGCAGCTTCGCCACATACCAGCGAGGGGGCTGTGGGCAGGCCATCAGCCTCTATGGGCCTCAGATTCTTCATATCCATTTGTGAAGCGGGGATAGTCATCTGTTGCTGACTACTTGCCTAGGATGTTGTCATGAAAGCCTCTTTTAAGCTGGAAAAACTTGACGGAAATGTCTTGGTTCATAGTACAACAAATGTAAGATGGCTAGCGCTGCCATTCTATAGGACGCCTATCAGAATGTGAGTTTAAGCCATATACCTTCTCCCACCCCTGTATGTCAGTCTTTGGTAATGAGTGTCTAGGGCTCTGTCCATGAATAAATTTCAGTTAGTCCGTGAATTTGGACTGGGGGTGGTGTGTGGAGATTTACATTTTTATTTTCACTAACCTTTGGTTTCCAAGTTTATTACCAGCTTTACAAAGTAATATTAGTTACATCACTAATGTTTGTCTATAGCTCTGTGGCAAGTTAAAATAACCTGGAGTAGTCTTCCAGGACAGTTCTTTACATCTATTTATTCTGTGATCAAAAACCCAAACTGCCCAAGCCAAATCAGAATATCTTGCCACCTTACCCCAGAAGCAATTACACAGACCCCTGCAGATGTGCTTGTCAATGGCCACTACCTTTTAGTCTCAGTCTTTTAACATTTTCTACCTTCACTTTGACTCACTCTTCTATTCCCCTTGTTCTTATTGACTAGGAACTGTTTCTGGTTAAAGTCTTAGACCAAGAGGCAGATTTACAGGGCTTTTTCCAATGTATAGGGCATGGCCAGCATGAAGTATGGTTTTGGGCTGTGGGGGTGCTAACTTTGGAAATAACCTTTTTCTTGATGGAACTTAATCAAGGTAAACTGAGGTGCAGAATTCTGAGCTTTATCAGTTTTTTAGCAGAACATGAGTCTGTTAACACAGTGGGTCAAATGGCTACCTCAGTTACAGCAATGACCCAGAGGAGGCACAGCTCCTTTTTATAAGCATAGAACAAAGAACAGAACTGGGTAGGTGAGGAAAGTAATGTAATTGGTTACATGGCTGGTATCATCATGGAAGTAAGGACAACATGACTGGCTGAAAATTGAGAATGAGGGGCTAGCAACAACTCCCTCCTTCCCTCCTGTGACTAACAAATGTTCATTGTTTGAATGCACCTGTAAGGTTAGGGATCGTGGACCAGACTTCTTTTGATAAGGAACCAGACATCCTTGAAGGATAGCTTGGTGGTGTAAAGATGCTAGATCAGACTCCCTGTGGAGTCCACCAGCATCCCTTAAGGATAACACATTTCCCTGAAGCAAGAATAGAACAGTGGTTAGCAGGAGAACTGAACTTCTAAACTGAGTTCATAGGCAAAGAGATAAAGAAATGTGGCTTGAGCAATCATACAAAATGGGGCAGTAATACAGAATAGGATCAATTACAGTAGAGAACCAATTATAAAATGATACATAATCAATTTAATTTCTTCACCTTAAAGACTAATACCCTAAAATGTGTACAAGGATTTCTGAGCCCCCAGCCACTCAAATGAAAGCATTTAAAATTCAGCATCCTCCTTTTCTGCCTGGGGGTTGCAGCTGTTTGGGCACTGTAGAGCTCAGTTCTAAGATAAGGATTTAAGTAATTGGGGGAGCCTGAAGATGGGGAATCACTCCAGAGCAAATAGGTTCCTGGCCTCTTCTTCATCCCTTTATCTGCCTACAAGATGTTCCACAAATTTGCTTATCGATGGACACTCTCTGCCCTTGTCTTAGGAAATCATTACATAACATTTAGTGTTATTAAATTTTTGAAGCTAGGATTTAAGTTTACCCTGAAACATTAGGCTAACCACAACTATTTTCCCTAAGAATGGGGAGATTGTATTACTAGGTATATACCCCCAAGGAGGACATTGATAAGAAGACATTTCCCTGAAACCTTTCTTCCCTGAAACCAAAATATTTATAGCAGCACTTTTTGTGGTAGCAAAGAACTGGAAACTAAGTAGATGCCCCTTGCTCAGGGAATGGATAAACAATTGTGGTACATATGTTACAGGCCTGCACAACATACGGCCGACAGGCGGCTTGCTGCCTGCCAAGGGATTTCAGGGCCCACAAAAAAATGTAGGGTTGCCACTACGCACTCTTTCCTGTTTGTCATGTGACCTGCAGCAACCAACCATCTTCAGTCTGTCTCTAGTCTAACCCAGCTGTGACCGAAGGAGTTTAGCCTATTTTAATTTTGGCTCCTGCCTACTGCCAAGTCGTGTAGGTCTAATATGTTACAATGCTTCAAGAGCCAGTGAATATGACAAATCCAGAGCAGCATGGATAGACTTAAATGAACCGATGCAGATAAAGTAAGTAAAATCAAGAAAACAATATAGTACAGCAACGTAGATGGAAAGAATAGGAACAAATTAACTCAAAGTGAATATTTCAGAATTAGAGGGAAAAAAACTGAGCATGGCCCCAAAGAACTATGAGAAGATAACTCCCCACTCATTTGCAGAGACTAGAGGTCCACAGGTATGTAACACTGCATGTACTTTCAAACTTTTTTGATGTTTTGATTGGTTTTGCTGATTGTTTTTATTTTCTTCTTTTTCTTTTATTTAAAAAGATATTCTTTGTTTTAAATGTGATGGTTCTCTGGGAAGGAAGAGGGGGGGAGATAACTAGGAGAAATTTAGGTGGTGGAAAAACAAATGATAATAAACTTTTATTTTTGAAAAAAGAACAGTGGGGAGATGCAGTGTTTGCTAGCTTGACTTGAGACAGACCGTCTTGGAGGTTTCAAGTGAGAATCCTACAGTGATCTTTATCACCATGGGCTAAGGCCAGTATTTTTTTTTCTTTTCTTTTTTAGGTTGATTGTTTATTGTACTAAATCATTTAACTAACTTTGTATGCACCCTTGACAATAACTCTACTTTCCTCCAAGAGCCATGGCTAATGGGTTGAGAAATACTATTTTAAGACATTTCTTTGAGAAAATACATTCTAAATTCTAAGCAACCAATTTGCACTTTTTTTAAAAAACAGAACTGACTATAGAACCAAGATTGGAAAAATCTTACAATTGTCTTCAGGATGGGTGAGAAGCAGTACACAACTGTATATGTTGAAATATGTTATATTAATAATAAGAAATAAAATATGTTCTTCTAAAATACACTTTAATAGAAAATCGTGATTGTAAGGTCAATTACTTTCCTGCCTTAACCCCAAACCTCACATCTCCTAACTGGCCTGCTTCCTGCCCCATCGGCCACTGGACAAATTAATTTCTACCATGTTGCTGTGGACCATTTGGGTCTGTCATATCAATAAAGCATAATGGACCTAGAGTAAGGAAACTCCAAATTGGAGTCGTTGGTCTCCCACTGGCCAAGTGACCTTAGGTGGGTTACCCTTTCAGAACCTCACTTTTTGCATGTGTAAAATAGGGATATTCATCCCCATGCTGCCTACCTCAAAGTATTCCTATAAACACTGAAGTTCTCTGTAAACATAAGTTTTTATTTTTCTATGTGTGATAAAGCAGGGCACAGACAAATGACCAGAAACTAGCTGTGTAAAGACTAACTGACAAAGAATTTCTGGCTTAAAGAACAGCTTGATTTGCTCAGACTTCTTTCCTTGCCAAGGGCCTCGTACTTACTATGTGTAATGGGAGTCAATCAATCAATCAACAAGATTAATTAAAGCTTGGCATGTTCCAGACACTATGCTAAGTGTTCGGAACAGAGAGAAAAGGCAGAGGATTTTGTGATTTCCCAATTATTGCAATAGAACCGTCTTGGCTTCTGCTTTCAGGGAAAAGGCTGCAGACAAACTTAGGTGGCCCACTTGGGTGGTGGTTTTTTAGTCAGAAACATGAATGTTTAGTTACTCAATACAAAAATGGCAAATGTGACATTTAGAAGACCAATATTTCGCTCAGTACTTCCCTTTGGCACTTCTGATAATGTTCTTATTATTGCTTCAGCCCCATTGCCCCCACACATTTTCATTCTGCCTCTACTCTGCTGAAGATATTAATAGTCTACAGGGAAGGGGAACCTGCGGCCTTCTAGGTCCTTGGGTGCAAACTTTTCACTGAGTCCAAGTTTTACAGAACAAATTCTTTTATTAAGGATTTGTTCTGTGAAGTTTGGAGTCACCAAAGAGCCAAAGTTGAGGACCTAGAGGGCCATATGTGGACTCAAAGCTGCAGGGAACTGTTCCCCACCCCTGGTTTATACAGTCCCTGGTCACAGAGATTGTACCTTTTTCATCTTTCTATCCCTATCTCCTAGAACCACAGTGCTTTGTACCGAGTTAAAAATATGTGTGTTGAATTGAATAGAATGGGAGTGAATAGAATTGGAGTTCTGAAATTCTAAGAGCCATATTGGTAGTTCAGACAGTAAACATTACGGGACTTCCAAGGAAGGATAGGTCACCTCCAGCTATCGTGATTAAGGAAAGGATTCAAGGAGGAGGTGATATTCGAACTGGACATTGATGGATGGGTAAGATGTACTGGTATATCTTATAAATTTTTAAGAAGAAATGGAGAATTGGTTTATTTGGGAAAGTACAGTCTTCCTATATTTCCTGGCAAATATCAGACCACTTTGAATGAGTACAATTACCGGTTAAAGATTGATTAGTTGGGCAGCTGTGTAAAAGGAAAACGTAAGATGATACCAGATTCATAATTTCTCCATGTTTTTCACACATTTGAGCCAGCTGGTTTTGCTCCTTGGCATGGATAGTCTCCAGTTCATCTTTAAATTTTTCCAGTATGTTTTCTGCCAGAATGTTCCTCTGCAGTCCATTTGTCCCCCTTCCTCTCAAATATATGACCTAAAACGCAAAAGACATCATGAGTTTGCTCTGCCACATCTCTTCCTGAAAAAGTCAAAATACAGTATACCTTAAGTAGAAGGAATATACCAGCATTCTACATCCTGTAGAATGCCTCAAGACTTCAGAAAATAAATGCAGTTGAAAATCTCTCTTCTTCCAAAATTACACATCACAACACTGGAGCATACTTTCCACAAAAGACTATTTATCAGCTACTGGGGAGGTAATATGGTATAGAGATGGATCACTAGCCTAAGGGTCAAAATGCCTGCGGACTTTGATTCCCAGTCCTACTATTTAACTGTGTGACCTTGCTTTGGTCAAGTTGCCTCCGCTGTCTGGGCCTCCACTTTTTCTGGGCCTCCACTTTCTCCTTTAAAATGAGAGGGTGGGACAAAATGATTTCTAAGGTCCTTTCCAGCTCTATCATTCTAAGACTGTGAACACTTTTGGTGTCATAAGCTATGTGGTGTTTGCTACCTATATGTTAAGTAATGCCTCTTTTTATTTGTCTTAAAAATAAAATCAACATACATTTTTAAGGTCATTTGAGGACCCTCAGCTGTACTATCTAAGATTGAGTGAATACAGCAGTATTCATCCTGCCCACATACTTTATGATTTGTAAATATAAAAAAAAAATGGTCCTTCTCAACTCCTGTCTCTCCAATCTACTGAAAAGAGTTTTCTTCCCATTCCATTTCTACTGTATCTTCCTTTCCTGAGCTCCTGTATTGACATCTGGGTATTTCTGCAAGATGGTCAAAAAGAATGCAAAGAAATTTAACCAGAGTAGAAAGATGGAAGAGTTTGGTGAGGAGGTTGGGGCCAGCATTTGAAATCTAAATGATGAAGTAGTTTTATGACCGTGCCAACAGATGAATGGAGGTGCCTAAAGTTCAATCAATAGTGCCTACTATGTGGCAGGCACTATGCAAGATAATTTGAGAACTATGAGGCCAGAGTGTCATATAGGATAACAAGAGAATTGTTTTTCATTTGGTAGAGAGAAGAAAAATTAAGTATTTATTGAATGAGTGAAGTATTTATTAAGTACAAGGGCCCAGGAGATGGAGACTACTAGTCCTAAAAAGATAAGGAGGAGGCCTATGAATAAGCAATACAGCTGTCTCCCACAACTCTGCCTTGAAGATTTTCATGGTTGAATATTAATAGCATAGAACTGCAGATTCCCTGTATTGGGTCATTGTAGGAGATAGGTGTGACAATGTAAATATTTTGGAAATTTCCATCAGGATTTAGGGAAATAGAGATTCCACTGAAAACATATGAGTTAGAATCTTCTAATATAGGGCATGGGCAGGAAATCCATTTTATGTTTAGTAAACCCATTTTATGTTATATGTTGTTTCATCTGGAAAACCAAATTGCTCACCTTCATTGCCATATGCAATTTAATTTCCAAACCCCATCCCCAACCTCTGCAGCCCTAACTCCTTATCTTTAACATTCCAGTGTGAAACTATTTTCCAAATCCTTATAAAGTAGGGAAGGAAAAAGTAGTTAGTAGGCACAGAGGCCCATGACTGCACTCATCTTTCTACAAAGGTGTGGCTGATGGAAATTATTGGTCTCAGCGTGACTCAGTCTGCTCAGTCTTTTACACCCACTTTCTGTTTAGGTTAGAGGAGAACATTGTACTCAGAGGCCTGTTAACTACACATCTGGGTACTTGACAAACATCACTACTACTCACAGAGCTACTTCCTCCAAGTACCACACCTCCACTTTAGTGGGAATGTTTAAATCCAAACAATTTGGTGACATTTTTTGGTTTCTACTAACTTTATGAAAAGACCAATAATAATTTACACTCTTAGGCTTCCCATTGTATTAAATATGAGTGAGAAGATTATCTTGAAGTTAAAAGTAGTTAAAGGAAAGTTTAATCTTACTTTCCTGCAGACTGGACAGCAAAACTGCCCATTCACGTGGGTACAATTCTGGCAGAGAAGGATCTGCTCCAGGCACTGTTTGCAGAAGTTGTGGGAACAGGAAAGGACAAGAACAGGTGGGGTGAACAAATCCAAACACACTGGACAGGAGAGGACCTTCCCCAAAGCCTCCATGACATACCTAGAAGTCAATTGTCTCCACCAAGCAGCCTTGTCATGATCTAGGGTTCTAGAATAGTGTTGGAATACATTTCCATGGAGACTGGCTGCAATAGCATTAACAGCAGGAATATATACCAAAGCTTGAAGTCTAGAAGAGCCCTGATGGGCTTCTCAGACTTACCTGGGGAGTCAGAACTTTCCTTTTCCTTCCTGAAATTCAGTATAAATGGAAATACAACCCAACTCCCCATTTCTTAGGTATATACACTTTTGGTGTATATACTTTTTTAAAAAATTCAGTTTTACTTTATTTTCAGGCCTGCATTTTCTCTCTCCTCACTCAGAAAGCAAGAGAAAGAAAACTAGCTCTAAACATACACGGTCAAGCTGGACAAATTCTTCTGTTGGCCATGTCCACCTACTCCAAAACCTTCATCATTCTTTACAGCACAGTAGTATTTCATTATATTCAAATACCAAAATTTGTTCAGTTATTTGACATATTTGGGGTATAGACATACTAATAGTATCACTAGGTCAAAGGCTATGTATAGTTTAATAGTTTTTTGGGAATAGTTCCAACTTACTTTTCAGAGTGACTGGACCAAGTCATAGTTTCAGGAACAGTGCATTAAAGAACCTGTTTTCCCACAGCCCCTCTAGTATTTGTCATGTTCCATTTTTGTCAATTTTGATGAATATGAGGTGGTACCTCAGAGTTTTCTAAATGTCCATTTCTTGAATTATTAGTGATTTAAAGCATTTTTATATGGTTATTGATAGCTTGGATTTCTTCCTCTGAAAATTACCTATTCATATTCTTTGACCATTTGTCAATTTGGAAATGGCTTTTATTCTTATAAATTTGAATTAGTTCCCTAAATAGCTTCAAAATGAGACTTTTATCAGAGAAATTTGCTGGAAAGATTTTTTTTTCAGTATTGCTTTTTAAATAGTATTACTTCTCTTTCTGTGTTCATGGGTGGAAGGACAAAAGGAGCAGAATTTCACTATCTATCCACCAAATGATTTTTGAAAAGTTTGTTAGATGATTATTTGACTCTAACCCTCTTTATTAAAGTGATAGATGTAAATTAAGATACCAGCTAGGGAAGTAGAAACCATGTGGTAGGAGAATCAGTTGAGGAAGCTGAGGATGTGTAGCTGAAAAAGTGAACACTTGGGAGTAGTGGGGCAAAACATGTTCATGGTCACTACCTTCAAATCACTAAATCAGGGTTTCTTCACAGTTTCATTGTCATGGATCCCTTTGGCAATATGGTGAAACCCCTTCCCAGAATAAGATTTCTAAATGCATAAAATTAAATATGTGAGGTTACAAAGGAAATAATTACCAAAATGTCTGAATCCACATTAAGAATCCCTTAGTTAAAGAGTCATCATATGGAAAAGGATGAAACTTATTCGGCTGTGTTCTAGACATCAGAACTAGAACCAATAGAAATCAAAGGGAGGCAGATTTTTTTTTAATAAAGTGAACATTTCTTGAATACTTACTATGTTACAACTTTCTGAGTTGTTGAAAAAATATTCTGTATAATTTTGAAAGATGGCAAGTTTCCTGTCACTGGAGAACTTCAAGTGGAAAGCTTGATGACTGTCAGGAACTTTGTAGATGGTGTTCATGATTTGTCTATGAGTGAGACCAGATAACCTTGGAAGTTCCTGCTTTAAAATTTTATGATTCTATGAAACATAAATGGGACTTTTTCTTTGTCTCCTAACCCAAACCTTCTCTTTTAAGGTAATAGCTTTTGATTTTGAATTATATATGATTTACCCCCCTTTTCCTTACTTTTCACCCTACTCCTTTCCTCACCTGTCCTATTTCTGACATATTTCTCTAACTCTATTGTAATATCTACCTAACATTTTGTCTTCTTGTAAGCCACTTAGATATCCATAAGAAACTTCCATGATCACATTCCCTGTCCTTGCTAATTTGCACATTTAAACTATATTTTCACCACCACTTTTCTCTCGAGCTCCAAGAACTTTTTAAATTGCATGTCATTAGTCTTCTCGGATTCCAGTGACTAACAACTCTCTCTGGTCTCTTTCTTATTACCTATGTACAGGAAGCTAAGGGCTTTTCAGGTGGATGTTTGCAACCTGAAGAAGTGATGGGGTCTCACAGATATGGCTTATTCATGATTAAGGAGATGGTGAGTTTGCCCCCTTTCTCCCCTCTCTCCCACATGGAAGGCCTTCAGACAAAGTCTGGATTGACCACTTGTTAGGCATGTTGACAAAGGAACTTTTTTTCAGGCAAGGATTGGACTAGATAATCACTGAGATAGCTTACAGCACTGAAATTCCATGATTCTGTGAAGATAGGAGCAAAGGATGATGCATTTCAAGAGGTTCTGACAGTTTGCTTCCTCTCCCTCAATCTCTTGAAGACAAAAGTTTCTGCTTAACCAATTAAAAATATGAAAATAATATCCATCTTTCTCATGCTATCTGGTTTCATTAACCCTGACTTATGTGGCTCCACAGTGAAAGGATTTGGCTTATTTGTGTGGATTAAAGGAAGTTTATGATCTCTTACTTAATATTTCACCAAAGTACCATTTCACATTTCCTTATTAGAGGGTTCATTTGACCCAAAGGAATTTCTCATGAGCCATAACTGCTCAGTATAATTTTTCCCCGCTTTGGTCAGGAACTGTAATTTTTATTGGGGGAACTCTTTGTGGACATTGATTCAGATAGGCAGCTTCCCCATAATTTATAGTCTTAGAGAGCTGCTTGGAACACCAAGACATTAAGTGACTTGTTCACAATTACACACCAATATATCTCAGAGGCAGGACCGAACTCATGTGTTCTAGATCCAAGGATTATACCACACTGTTAGGTATTGTATCATACCTTACCTTTTTTATGTCTAAGAATTTGTGGGACCTCCAATAAGAGTAAATCTTTTTAAAAATGTAAGTCAAAGGAGCTGAAAGCCTTTTAATAAAGTTATAGACTAAAATCTAAATTTTTGTGCCTTATAATTAGTGGTTACTAAAAGCCACTTGCCAAATAAAGAAATCCCTGAATAAAAATAAGCATGTGGCTTATTATGTGGCTGTGATCAACAAATTTCTTTTTAACCTTTAAATATAGCAAACAAACATCTGGTGAATTATTTTGTATTTTGAATGGGTGGAGGCCAAAAAAAAAATACAAGCATTAGTCAGAAACTAGGGGAAAATGTTTTACTTCTAACAAATAATATTTAGAGACAGAATTGAGGAGGATATTTGGTGGCATCTACAAAAGAACAGATTTTTTTTTCTCCTGTACACAGCATCTTAAATTCTCAGCAGCAAATAAGAAAATCTTGATATTTAATACCTAGTCCAAGACTACTTAAAGACACTTTGGTTCATAATGTAACATGCATAGTTAATTAGTGTTTAGAAAAGAAAAACTGTTGTGAAAATTTTTGTATCTAGAATTCCTTAGACTAAATCTAAATTACCCAATGAGGAAAGATCGTAAAACCCTCAACAGATATCCCAACTCATTTCTCCACTGAAAGCAACATGTGAGAAATGCATTGAGAACATTAGTGAGATTTCTCAGGGTACCCTTTCATGGTGTTTACATTCTTTTCATGTTATTTGTACCAGTTCATGGTTAATCACAACAATTCATGTTAATGTACCAGTGAACAAATCTTTGAAACAATCTGCCTTTCTTCCATTGACAACACTTTCACCATAACTGTAACTGGGATTCAGAGTTGAGAAGAGTTTGGACTGTCTAGCCTAGGTCAATCTAACACTACTAATTTCAGCATTTGGACTATTTTTGCACTGCAAAAAATCAGAGAAAGTACAGTATGCCTCAGTCATCTGGAGACTGTTTACTGAAGAGCTTCACTTATATGAAACATTGTAAATAACCACATGGCTCGTACAGAGGCTCTACTGGGGCATGGAGATCCATGTATTACCTACACTTTGGTGAGTCCGCTTTTGTCTAGTACAGTGCTTTATGCCTAGTAGGCACTTCAATGTTTGCTGAATTGTTGAAGCAAAAAGGTCCTGATCAGCCATTTGATTTATTTTTTCAAGGCCAAGACCCTCTGGTTCTCACTAAGAGTCTACTGACTCTGTTTTGGACAAAATCCCAATCAGTTTGGTAATCTGGTTGCTAAATTTGGAGATTAGAAGTATTGAATTAGAATTGGGCTAGGAGCAAGAAAGGAGGAAAGGGAAAATCTTGAGACATCTAAACTGTTAGAAACAAGAAATGATACTGGTCATGAAAAAAAAAAATAGAAGACCCAACAAAAAGCAGACAACTTAAAAAAAATATATACATATATATATATATATATACATATATATATACATATATATACATATATATATATACATATATATATATGTACATATATATATGTAGCAGCCTGGGGCTATTTAGTATGGGGGGAAAACAGCCCCACAATTACAATTAAAAACTAATGTCCATAATGGTGATCCCGAGGTCACCAAGACAAGGTCAAAAATAGATTTATTCTCATGTTAGGAAAGGAAGAAAAGTAAGTATGTTGTCTTGATAACGGGCCCAGAATATTCCCATCATCTGAATATACTCACTGTTGTTTTGCTGGTATATGTTTTCTTGAAGCGCACATAAAGATAGAGAAGTTAACAGTTTGTAGGTAGCTCTAAGTAGTCACAGCTTCTTGGCATTATCTCCCCTTTGTGGCCACTCCCAGATCCTGTGGATGCAATGGTCATTGTTGGAAGTCTGTTCTGTACAGATTGAGACTTGTGTTTGAGCCTAGGGCCCCAGTCTGGGGGAATGGGGGGTTGGGATGGGTAGGGGAAGCACTTGAGACTTAGAGTCAGAGGCAAAGAGGATCCAGGTAGTGTTTTCAGGGACTAAGTGATACCTGGAGGCCTAGGGAAGCTAATGGGTTCTGATGTGGGCCTAATATGATAGATTTTGTAATAGGTTTTAGAAAGAATGTGACAGATTTTTTATAAAGAATGTGATAGATTTTAGAAAGATTTCTAATGGTTAAAATATTATCACTTGAAGAAATATGCTCCAGTTATCTGTAAAAATCTCTTTATGCAGAACTCTTCATTTCAATCAACCAGCATTTATTAAGCACCTACTATATAGGTGGTAGAGATAAATGAAACCAAAATAGTCCAGCCTACCCTCAAGGATCTTACATTTTACTGGGTGGGGAGTAGGAAGAGGGGAAGAAATTCAACAAGTACACAGGTAAATAAATACAAAGTAATTTAGAAGGTTGTGCCATTAACAATTAGAGGGATAAGTAAAGGCTTTGTGTAAAGTGGCTGTTCAGGACCTTTTTGTTTTAAGACTTGAACTGAGCATTGAAGGAAATGGGATTTTAAGAGGTGAGGAGGAAGGGAGTACATTTGAGGTATAGAAATGGGAGACAGTATGTTGTTGAACTCAAGAAACAGCTAACGGGCCAGGATGGCTGGAACTTAGAATGTGATCAAGGAAATCATATGAAATAAGTCTTCAAAGATGCAGAGTTTTAATGACAATTTGTGCACTTTTTTTTAACCTTAGAGGTAATAAGGAGCCACTAAAAACTTTTTTTAAAAAAAACATTACAAGCACAGCAGTGGGAGAATATCTGTGATAATGAATTGTGTGACAGAAAACCAGTTTATTTACCCAATACAAAGACGCACAGGAGACATATGTTCCGGTCTGTGTCTTAAAAATATTAATTTGGCAGCTTTTGTGGAGGATGATTTGGATGGAGAAAGAAGAGGAAGTTAGGGAGCCTAATTAGGTGGCTATTGCCTTATTCCAGGCAAGGAGTGATGAATGAGGGTAGTAGTTGTAGAAGAGAATTTACAAAATTTAGCAACTGACTAGATTGAGGGAGGGGCTGATGGAGAAGTTAAAATCCAGGATGAATAGAATGATGGACATGATTAGGGAAATTTGAAAGAGGTTGGGTTTTGAGGGAAAACAGTTAAGTTCCAGTATATACATGTTGAGTTTGAAACGGCTGGTGGGACATCCAGATAGTGATGTCCTTCAGGCAGCTGGCAAATGGGGACTAGAGTTCAAGAAAGAGATTAGGGCTGAATATGTTGATTTGGGAGTCAGTGAGGTAGCAGTGATAATTGAATCCATGAACGTAATGAGACCACTAAGAGATTGTGAAGAGAGAAGGATCCTTCTAAGAGAGAGCCCTAAGTAACATCCATTCTTGATGAATAGGAGATGGGATGATGATCCAGCAAAAGAGACAAGAGGGCAGTCAGGTAGGAAGATCATAGTCTCCTAAATTTAGAGCTAGAAGGACCTACTTCAACCCCCTTATTTTACAGATGAGGAAACTGAAGTCCAGAGAGATGTGACTGACTCACGGTCACACGGGTAGTAAGCAGCAGCTCAAAACTAGGTCCTCTGACTCCAAACCCGTGGTCTTTCTACTGCAAGACAACCAAGAGAAAGTACAGTGTGCCACAGAAGCTAAGGGGGAGAGTATCTGGCAGGATCCTGACAGTGCTGGTACATGAAATGCTAGTACAAAATCAACTCGACCAACAGTATATCAGTGATTAGGTGAGGGCTTGCCTGTTTAGTTTTTCCTTGGTATCTTGCTTTAATTCATAGAATTATAGATCCTAAGAAGCCATTTAGTCCAAACCTTACCTTACCCTGGATATGAGGTTCTCCCTGATTCCTGCCCTCCCCCCAATAAATATTTGGTATATGCTTATTTGTGTACATGCCCCGCCAAGTAGAATATAAACTCTTTGCAGGTAAAGACTGCTTCATTTTTGTCATCTCTAGGACCTAGCACAATGTCTTACATAGAGTGTGTGCTCAATAAATGTTGAATTGAATTTGTTCACCAATAAGTGGTCATCCAGACCCTGCTTAAAGTCCCTTGGTGAGGGGGAAGGTATGACCTCATGAGGCAGCCTGGTCTACTTTTGTTAAGAATGAAATCTCCCCCTCTGCAACTTCTACTCATTATTCCTTTCTGACCTCTGGAGTAAGCAGAACAAGTTTAATCCCTACTCTATATGCCAACCTCTTAAACACTTGAAAACAGTCTTTATGTATGGTCTGAGTCTCACCCCACCCCAGATAAATATCCCTGGGTCATTTAACCTCATGGACCCCTTTGACAGTTACTGAAACCTAT